TCCACATGCTGGTGTGGTTCCATTTTGTCATTGGGTGTGGCAGATTACGGGCCTCCCATTGCTGCTGCCAGGCCCGTAATCTGCCATGGGGCCCCCCGTACCGCCTCCTCATGCTGCTGCCAGGTCCCAGAGTGTCTCATGGGTCCCTGTACGGACTCCCATTGCTGCTGTCTCCATCGCCACACTCTGCCATGTGCCACTTTTTCAGGGTCTCCTCACACTGCTGGTGCTGTCCATTTTGTCATAGGGTGCTGGCAGATTACGGGCCTCCCCATTGCTGCTGCCAAGGCCCGTAATCTGCCCATGGGCCCCGTACCGCCTCCTCATGCTGCTGCCAGGTCCAGAGTCTCCATGGGTCCCCCTGTACGGCCTCCCATTGCTGCTGTCTCCATCGCCACACTACTGCCATGTGCCACTTTCAGGTCTCCTCACACCTGATGGTGTGTTCCTTTTTGTCATAGGGTGCTGGCAGATTTACGGGCCTCCCATTGCTGCTGCCAGGCCCGTAATCTTGCCATGGGCCCCCTGTACCGCCTCCTCATGCTGCTGCCAGGTCCAGAGTCTCTCATGGGTCCCTGTACGGCCCTCCATTGCTGCTGTCTCCATCGCCACACTCTGCCATGTGCCACTTTCAGGTCTCCTCACACTGCTGGTGTGTTCCATTTTTGTCATAGGGTGCTGGCGGATTACGAGGCCTCCCATTGCTGCTGCTGCCAGGCCCATAATCTGCCATGGGCCCCCGTACCGCCTCCTTCCTCATGCTGCTCGCCAGGTCCACAGTGTCTCATGGGTCCCTGTACGGGCCTCCCATTGCTGCTGTCTCCATCGCCACACACTCTGCCATGTGCCACTTTCAGGTCTCCTCACACTGCTGGTGGGTTCCATTTTGTCATAGGGTGCTGGCAGATTACGGGCCTCCCATTGCTGCTGCCAGGCCCGTAATCTGCCATGGGCCCCCGTACCGACTCCTCATGCTGCTGCCAGGCCCGTAATCTGTCATGGGCCCCCGTACCGCCTCCTCATGCTGCTGCCAGGTCCAGAGTCTCTCATGGGTCCCTGTACGGCCTCCCATTGCTGCTGTCTCCATCGCCACACTCTGCCATGTGCCACTTTCAGGTCTCCTCACACTGCTGGTGGGTTCCATTTGTCAATAGGGTGCTGGCAGATTACGGGCCTCCCATTGCTGCTGCCAGGCCCGTAATCTGCCATGGGCCCCCGTACCGACTCCTCATGCTGCTGCCAGGTCCAGAGTGTGTCATGGGTCCCTGTACGGCCTCCCATTGCTGCTCTCTCCATTCGCCACACTCTGCCATGTGCCACTTTCAGGTCTCCTCACACTGCTGGTGTGTTCCATTTTTTCATAGGGTGCTGGCAGATTACGGGCCTCCCATTGCTGCTGCCAGGCCTGTAATCTGCCAAGGGCCCCGTACCGAACTCCTCATGCTGTGACTTTGCAGGTGGAATTCAACCCTACATATTGTTTAGACCGCCTTTACGAACAGCGAAAGGCCATCACCGATTTTCTGATGTTACAAAGCGGATAAAGGTACTCCCTGTGTAACTTAGATGTCAGCCATTGGGCAGCTCATGCGTGGGACACCTGCCGCTTGCTCAGGCCCTTTGAGGAGGCCACGCTATTCGTGAGTCGGCAGGACTATGGGATGAACGACGTCATTCCTCTGTTGCACGTCCTGGAACAAATGCTGTTAACAATGGCTGGTCAGGTGCTGTAGATGTGGCGCACAGATCTCAACGCCACATGACCCCTGTGGGGGCAGGACAGGAAGAAGAGGAGGAGGTAGAGGAGGACATTGGTGCTCAGGAATTATTGAGTGAAATGGGTGGTTTTCCACTCAGCGGACAGGAGTGGAGGAGCAGGAGCATCTGGTAGAGGAGGAGGAGGAGGAGACAGAGGACCCAGACGCACCGTGGCAGTATGCTGTGGAGATGGAGGCAGGGAGTCCCTCGCATTCCTTGGCACAAATGGCCCATAGCATGCTCGGTTGCTTGCGTAGCGACACAGCCCGAATAATAACCATCAGACAGAGGGATGACTTTTGGCTGTCCACCTTGTTGGACCCTCGCTACCGTTCAAAAATTGGTGGCCTTTTTCACACCTGCTGAGAGGGAGGCCAAATATAAAGTACTATAAAAAAACCACCTATTTAGTCATGCAGTATATAGCCCTATCGGCCACTTTCTGGCATCCAGTTGCTGTAGCCCTCATCACCACACTGTGCCACGGGCCCCTGTACCGCCTTCTCATACTGCCGCCAGATCCATCCTCTGCCATGTGCGTCTTTGTCGTCTGCTCACGCTGCTGGGTTCCAGTTTTAAACCTAGGCCTGTGTATGGCTTCCGAATACTGCTGCCTCCACCGCCACCCTGCGCCATGTGCCTCTGTCGTCTGCTCACGCTGCTGACGGCTTCCGCTTTTTAACCTAGGCCTGTGTATGGCTTCCGAATACTGCTGCCTCCACCGCCACCCTGCGCCATGTGCCTCTGTCGTCTGCTCACGCTGCTGACGGCTTCCGCTTTTTAACCTAGGCCTGTGTATGGCTTCCGAATACTGCTGCCTCCACCACCGCCACCCTGCGCCATGTGCCTCTGTCGTCTGCTCACGCTGCTGACGGCTTCCGCTTTTAAACTAGTCCTGTGTATGTCTTCCGAATACTGCTGCCTCCACCGCCACCCTGCGCCATGTGCCACTTTCAGGTCTCCTTACACTGTTGGTGGGTTCCATTTTGTGATAGGGTGCTGTATGGCCTTCCATTGCTGCTGCCTCCACCGCCACCCTGCGCCATGTGCCTCTGTCGTCTGCTCACGCTGCTGACGGCTTCCGCTTTTTAACCGAGGCCTGTGTTTGGCTTCCGAATACTGCTGCATCCACCGCCACCCTGCGCCATGTGTCTCTGTCGTCTGCTCACGCTGCTGACGGCTTCCGCTTTTTAACCTAGGCCTGTGTATGGCCTTCAATTGAAGCTGCTTCTGCTCCGCCACTCTGCCATTGGACTCTTGATAGTCGTCTCCCCACGCTGCTGCTGGGGGGACTTTTTAACATAGGCCTCTGTATGGCCTTCAATTTTAGCTGCTTACGCTCCGCCACTCTGCCATTGGCCCCTGTACCGCCTCCTCATGCTGCTGCCAGGCCCGTAATCTGCCATGGGCCCCCGTACCGACTCCTCATGCTGCTGCCAGGCCCGTAATCTGTCATGGGCCCCTGTACCGCCTCCTCATGCTGCTGCCAGGTCCAGAGTGTGTCATGTGCCACTTTCAGGTCTCCTCACACTGCTGGTGCGTTCCATTTTGTCATAGGGTGCTGTATGGCCTCCCATTGCTGCTGCCTCCACCGCCACACTGTGGCTCCACACTCTGGTTTTGGCCCCGTGACTGCCCAAATGAGTGAAGTGTGCGGTGATTCTAAGATCGACGGCACTCATCTGCATGTCATACTGACTGACAGTATTATTTCTCTTCCCCAGCAGACTCCAAGGGCATTTAAGTTAAAGGTACAGTGTTCTGCACTAATATAAAGGCTCTCTGAAGCCTAGAAACACCCTTTTTATAAGTTAAATTCGCAGCGAATATATTCGGCACGAAGCGAATTTAATCGGCGAATTCGGCGAATCAGCCGAACCAAATTTTTGAATAATTCGCTCATCTCTACTATGGACAGATGAGGCCTAGATCAACTTGTACCAGAGTGATGGGAAGAGAAGAGTATGGAGAAGGAAAGGAACTGCTCATGATCCTAAGCACGCCCACCTCATCAGTGAAATATGGTGGTGGTAGTGTCATGGCGTGGGCATTTATGGCTGCCAATGGAACTGGTTCTCTTGTATTTGTTGATGATGTGACTGCTGACAAAAGCAGCAGGATGAATTCTGAAGTGTTTCGGGCAATATTATCTGCTCATATTCAGCCAAATGCTTCAGAACTCATTGGAAGCCGCTTCACAGTGCAGATGGAGAATGATCCAAAACATACTGCAAAGGCAACCAACCAGTTTTTTAAGGGAAAGAAGTGGAACGTTATGCAATGGCCAAGTCAATCACCTGACCTGAATCCGAATGAGCATGCATTTCACTTGCTGAAGACAAAACTGAAGGGAAAATGCCCAAGAACAAGCAGGAACTGAAGACAGTTGCAGTAGAGGCCTGGCAGAGCATCACCAGGAATGAAACCCAACGGCTGGTGATGTCTATGCGTTCCAGACTGTAATTGACTGCAAAGGAATTGCAACCAAGTATTAAAAAGTGAAAGTTTGATTTATGATTATTATTCTGTCCCATTACTTTTGGTCCCTTAACAAGTGGGAGGCACATATGCAAACTGTTGTAATTCCTACACCGTTCACACTGATTTGGATGTAAATACCCTCAAATTAAAGCTGACAGTCTGCAGTTAAAGTACATCTTGTTCGTTTCATTTCAAATCCATTGTGGTGGTGTATAGAGCCAAAAATTTTAGAATTGTGTCGATGTCCCAATATTTATGGACCTGACTGTAGACAGGCTATGATTGGTCAGCTTAACAGACTACAAAATACAGTCACAGTGTGTGTCTGTACAGTATCATGTATCTCCTAATGGCCAGTCAAAGGATGCAAACTGACCACACAAGCATGGATAAGCTTTCATGCTTTGCTTGGTCAGTTTAGAACAAGGAAGAAAGCTGATTAACAGGTAAGGATGAGCTAAACTGCCCTGGGTTCATTTGGATATTGTTCAGCAAACTTCAAAAAGAACTTTGAGAACCCTATTAAAGTTAATAGAATCTGAATTTGGCAAATTAAAATTGACATTTTCTGGGCTAAATAGGCAAGAGTGTGTGCAAAAATAGCATGGGGATGGGAACTGCCCTGGGCAATATGTACCAATGCAAAAAACTAGACATGTGTAATTTGTTTCATTATGAATCAAAATTCGGATGAAAATAGTAATGCATTTCAATGAATCCAGAATAAACTATAACAAAACAAATGATCAAAAAATGAATTTAAAAGTTAATTCAAATCTGAAATGGAAACGTGTTGCAATAAATACAGTAAGGTATAAAAGGGATATAATATGATGATGTGCAAATAATGCAGGAGTCTGTAAAGCAGAATGCAGGGTTTGGGGGACCCTGCTGCAGTCAGTGTCAGGTTAAGGAATACATAACACAGAATTCAGGGGTCATATACCAGGCTCTATGTACTCCATATACCAGATTGTATACACTCACCTACAGTTGTGTTCAAAATAATAGCAGTCAGACATCACTAACCTGATCAATCACTGTTTTTGGTAGAAATGATATTTCTACATGGCAAATAATTTACTAGCAGGTGTAGCAGAGTAATAGAAATCCAACAGACCCAACAGTCATGACATGCATGCTGCTGATTCTGTGTAATTGAATCACTAATTGAAAGGGGCATGTTCAAAATAATAGCAGTGTGGAGTTCTATTAGTGAGGTCATTCATTATTTGAAAAACAGGTGTCAATTATTGCCCTTATTTAAGGAAGGAAGGCAGCAAATGTTGTACATGCTGGTTACAGTGCATTTCTCTCTGAAATTCTGAGGAAAATGAGTCGTTCCAGACATTGTTCAGAAGAACAGCGTACCTTGATTAAAAAGTTGATTGGAGAGGGGAAAACATAAAGAAGTGTAGATGATAGGCT